ATTATAAACTCTTTAACAGACCTGAGATATGTCTGAAGATGAATTATAAACTCTTTAACAGACCTGCAGTTAACTGACATTTTTTCACAGTTATCATTTCTTTTTGTCTTATTCTGTCACTCTTCTTTTTTACCTGGTTTCTTCTCCACTGTTGGGCAGATACATGTGGTTTAATTCTTCAGTTTGTGTCTTTGGACCTGTAAATGGGCCCTGCAGATCCTGTGTTTATTCTCCGTGACCTTTGACCTCCAGTACGGGATCCCGTTCTACCTGCAGTACCTTGCTCACTGGCCTGAGTACTTCATCGTGGCTGAGGCTCCGGGCGGCGAGCTGATGGGCTACAGTAGGTTCTGATGGGTTCTGTGTTCAGGGTTGATGGTTCTGATGGTTTGGACTGAACTTTTTGGACTTTGTCTTTTTTTTTACATTTTTTCAGTTATGGGGAAGGCTGAAGGATCGGTGGCCCGGGAGGAGTGGCACGGCCACGTCACGGCTCTGTCCGTGGCGCCGGACTTCAGGAGGCTCGGCCTTGCTGCCAAACTCATGGAGATGCTGGAAGAAATCTCTGAGAGGTCCGGGTCGGGGTTCGGACAGGAACGCTGCAGGTCTTGTCACATTTTGCGATGATTCAGAGGTGACGGTGTTCCTCTGTCCTCACAGGAAAGGTGGTTTCTTCGTGGATCTGTTCGTGCGTGTGTCCAACCAGGTGGCGGTCAACATGTACAAGCGTCTGGGCTACAGCGTCTACCGGACCGTCATCGAGTACTACTCGGCCAGCAACGGCGAGCCCGACGAGGACGCCTACGGTGAGTCCAACCACAGACGACAAGCTGGAGGTCACGTAGAGTTCTGAGGCTTCAGGTCTCCCATGTCACCTCCTTCAGGAGCAGTTTTCAGAACCCAACCAGGCCGATTGGGCCTTTACCGGGTTCTAAAATGTTTCTATAATGGGAACAGGACTTAATCTGATCCAGATCCTGCCGGAACAGGGTCCAGGAACTTTCTTATTTTGACAGGCTGCGTTCTGGTAACTGTTTGCTTGGATCCGGTAACTCTCAGGCCTAATATTAATAAAGTTATGAACAAATAAAAATTATACTGTGTATGTAATCTGAAAATAATTAAAGTCTCAATTGAAACTTCAAACTTTAAACACAACAGAAGGGACGACACCAGACGTACATTAAAGACCAGTCACATCTGTCTGCACAACTTACACAAGAAGACGTAAACTGTCACCAACAATCACAAAGACAAGAAAGAAGACGTGAGTAATCTCCTCAACCAAGATGTCAATCAACGTGAGTTCTCTGTAACGTTACAGGAACAGATTACCTCGCTCCAACCGACTAGCTGAGAGCAGCGTGGCACAGCGGCTAATGTGAGAAATGACTAAACCAAAGAAAACTAGCGTGGTTCAACTTGCAGACATGGAGACTGAAGCAGCAAAAGAAAAGGAACTGTTAGAGAAATGCACTCCTTCACTTGTTCGGCTGGAAATAATGGTGAATGTTTCTCGACACCCAACACGCCGGAGAAACAGAAAGTGAAGAAAGATAAAAATGAACCGACAGCTCAACACGAGGAGCCGCCATTATCAGAGCTACAAAACACCATAATCACAGCAGTCTTTGAAGATTCAATCAGAAAGTTTCTGAGCAATGACGCAGATCGTTACAGCTGCCAACTCAACCTACGACTCTACGGTGTCCCTGAAGACAAACCTACGACTCTACGGTGTCCCTGAAGACAAACCTACGACTCTACGGTGTCCCTGAAGACAAACCTACGACTCTACGGTGTCCCTGAAGACAAACCTACGACTCTACGGTGTCCCAGAAGACAAACCTACGACTCTACGGTGTCCCTGAAGACAAACCTACGACTCTACGGTGTCCCAGAAGACAAACCTACGACTCTACGGCGTCCCTGAAGACAAACCTATGACTCTACGGTGTCCCAGAAGACAAGAATGACAGTAACATTAAACATCTGTCCAAGAAATATGTCAAGGAGTGCTACCAGAGACCCAAATGAGGACGGTGCTCTCAACGATGGACAGCCTTCATCGCATCGGCAGTCTTTGACAACGTGACTGGAAAACCAAACCTCGTCCACGACCGGTGATCATCAGATTCCAGTCCAGAATGGCCAGAGATGAGCTATGGAAAGGATCCAAGACCATCAACTACCTCAAACACAACAAGGTCAGCTCTAAAGACCTGACGGCTGCAGATAAAGGAACCCGAGACAAGCTGTGGAAACAGAGCTCATATTGAAGGAAAACACATTAAGATGTGACCAGGGAAAATATATTTTCGATATCTTCTGATGAGTTCAAATGACTCTAATGTGAGATGGAGAAGGTGACAATCACACTTTCAAAGTGCAGATATACAAATAACAAGCAGGTACATGTTAGCTTATACAGCTGAGTTCTGCTGTTATTCAGGGAGCTATTGTTCATGTTGGTTTATGTCTATTTCTGTTCTTCTGTTAATGCCATTATTTTTTAATTTCGAAGAAAAAAAAAGAACAAATATTACTTTCACTGCTAAAATGTTATGGGGAGGAGACTTTAACACAGTGATGGATGATAATCTGGTCAGATGGCCCCCAAACATTAACTGAACTACATCACATCTGTAACAGATTAGGAATCATTGATGGAGATCTAGACATTCAGACTAAACCTCCTACACATGGAACAAAGACGGGACTCGTCACGCAGAGATTTCTGGATGATTTCCTCAGACTGAGACGCTTCTATAGAACCAACAATACTGACAGATCACAAAGATATCACATTTCAAATAGATGTAAATACTAAAAGACAGGGTCAGAATAAAGATTACTGGGAATTAAATAACGCCTTATTAAAGAAGGAATCATTTAAAAGTGAAGTAATTAATTAATGGTAAATGGACTGTACTTACAAACCAGATTCCAAAAAAGTTGGGACACTAAACAAATTGTGAATAAAAACTGAATGCAATGATGTGGAGATGGCAAATGTCAATATTTTATTCGTAATATAACATAGATGACAGATCAAAAGTTTTGTAACATTTTAAAGGACAAATATGTTGATTCAAAATTTCACAGTGTCAACAAATCCCAGCAAAGTTGGGACAAGTAGCAATAAGTGGCTGGAAAAAGTAAATTGAGCATATAACAAACAGCTGGAAGACCAATTAACACTAATTAGGTCAATTGACAACATGATTGGGTATAAAAAGAGCTTCTCAGAGTGTCAGTGTCTCTCAGAAGCCAAGATGGTAAGAGGATCACCAATTCCACCATTGTTGCGCAGAAAGATAGTGCAGCAATACCAGAATGGTGTTACCCAGCGTAAAATAGCAAAGACTTTTAAGTTATCATCATCAACCGTGCATAACATCATCAAAAGATTCAGAGAATCTGGAACAATCGCTGTGCGTAAGGGTCAGGGCCGTAAAACTCTACTGGATGCTCGTGATCTCCGGGCCCTTAAACGTCACTGCACGTCAAACAGGAATGCCACTATCAAGGAAATAACAGAATGGGCTCAGGAATACTTCCAGAAAGCATTGTCAGTGAACACAATCCACCGTGCCATCCGCCGTTGCCAGCTGAAACTCTACAGTGCAAAGAGGAAGCCATTTGTAAGCAAGCTCCACAAGCTCAGACGTTTGCACTGGGCCAGGGGTCATTTAAAATGGAGTGTGGCAAAATGGAAGACTGTTCTGTGGTCAGATGAGTCACAATTTGAAGTTCTTTATGGAACACTGGGACGCCATGTCATCCGGACCAGAGAGGACAAGGATAGCCCAAGTTGTTATCAACGTTCCGTTCAGAAGCCTGCATCACTGATGGTATGGGGTTGCATGAGCGCTTGTGGCATGGGCAGCTTGCATGTCTGGAAAGGCACCATTAATGCAGAGAACTATGTTCAGGTTCTAGAACAACATATGCTCCCATCTAGACGTCATCTCTTTCAGGGAAGACCCTGCATTTTTCAACATGATAATGCCAGACCACATTCTGCAGCAATCACAACATCATGGCTACGTAGGAGAAGGATCCGGGTACTGAAATGGCCAGCCTGCAGTCCAGATCTTTCACCTATAGAGAACATTTGGCGCATCATAAAGAGGAAGGTGCCACAAAGAAGGCCCAAGACGATTGAACAGTTAGAGGCCTGTATTAGACATGAATGGGAGAGCATTCCTATTTCTAAACTGGAGAAACTGGTCTCCTCTGTCCCCAGACGTCTGTTGAGTGTTGGAAGAAGAAGGGGGGATGCCACACAGTGGGAAAAATGGACTTGTCCCAACTTTTTTGGGATTTGTTGACGCCATGAAATTTGGAAACAACAGATTTTTCCCTTAAAATGAAACATTCTCTCAGTTTAAACTTCTGATCTGTGATTTGTGTTCTATTCTGAATAAAATATTAGATGTTGGCACCTCCACATCATTGCATTCAGTTTTTATTCACAATTTGTTTAGTGTCCCAACTTCTTTGGAATCCGCTTTGTATATATCACTTTTCAATCTCATCGAGACACTCAAAGCTCTTTACAACAATCTGTGCCTCATTGACCCATTCATACAGCTCTATACTAGATCTGTACAAAGAGAACTGAACAAATCATTCTAAAGAGACTAATCAGAGCTTTATCACATTCAGACACTGATGGGACACACATCAGAGGCAGTGAGGGTTCAGTGTCTTGCCCAGGGACACTTCAGCATGAAGCTGGTGGATTCGAACCCCGAACTCTTGCATTGGAGGACGACTGCTTGAACCACTGAACCACAGCCGCTCCAATATAATAAATACTGGATCCAAGCAACTTTAACTAATTATTTTAGGTAAAAACTGGGAATTATTTAAATTTGAAATAAGGAATATGGTGAATAGAAAAAAGACAAGAAAAAGAATCCCAAATAATAAATGCAAGTTTGAGAATATCAGAGCAACGGATCTATCTGACGAGGACTCAGAGGAACTCTCAACACTGCAGCTAGAACTTGATGAGCTCCATGAGGACAAGGCCAGAGGAGCATTCGTGAGGTCCACAAGGAAACAAGGAGAGAAGTGCTCCACATACTTCTTCAACCTAGAGAAGAGAAACTTTGAACAATCATTTATTGGTAAGTTTAAAATGAACAACGTGATCGATGAAAACAAATACGTTATTTCAAACTACGTTTCAAACTTTTATCAGAGTTTATACTCGGTGAATCTAGAAGATGAGGACAGAATGGACACATTTCTAAGGAACATGAAATGAATACCAACAAGATGGATGATGACTTTAAGAGAACCTGTGACAGAGAAATGAATCTAAAAGAAGTTCAAGCTTCTATTTGTTCTCTTAAACATCATAAATGTGGCAGTGACGGCACAAGTAGTGAATTCTATAAACAGTTTGCAAAAGAACTGGCCCCTTTTTAAAAAAAACATGTTTATAGTCAATACTGAGAGGTGAACTACCCCCAACCCTCCAGCAGGGGTTGATTAAACTCAGCCCCAAACCCAGAAAAGATCAATTGATTATTGAAAATTGGAGACTAGTCTTCTAAACAATGACGCTAAAATATTTGCAGTTTTCTTTGCCGAACAACTGAAATTAGGTTTAAATGAGATTATTGGTGAAGAGCAATCTGGATTTATGCCTGAGGAAACATTAGTAACAATATTTGACAAATATTGGACGATTGATTACAATGAACTTATATTTGACGACAGCTTTATTCTGTTTATTGACTTCTATAAAGCATTTGATGCCATAAGTCATAAATTTATGTTCAAATCTATT